ATATATATACAAAAACCTTGTTTCCATTTATCCTTCCATTCTCTTTCTTCCTTTTCCTTCCTTCTATTCCCCTCCCCTTCACATTTTCCCATTCGTATTTGAACATTTTCTTTCTATTTCCAATATCTATCATCCATTGTGGCTCTTATTTACCCTTCTTGTTTATCACACAAGAGAAACAATGCAATATTTTAACACGTGTCTGATTTACTTCACTTAAAACTATGCTCTCAAGGTGCATCCATTTACCTAAAAATGTCTCAAGTTTATACCTTATGCAGAGTAGTACTCCATTGTATATAAAGACCACATTTTCTTTACCTATCTGTTGATGGGCATTTGGGCAGTTTCCAAGATTTAGCCATTACAAATTGTGCTGCTGTAAACATAGGTGTGCATATATCTCTGTGATATGATGCTTTTAACTGTTTTGGGAAGATATCAAGAAGGGGAATAGCTGGGTTGAATGGAACCTGTAGTTTTAGTTTTTTGAGAAATCTCCATACTGATTTCCATAGTGGTTGTACCTATTTACATTCCCCCCAGTGATGGAGAATGTTCCTTTGCCAGCATTTGTTATTGGTTGATTTCTTGATGATAGCCCTTCTTTCTAGAGTGAGATGGAATCTCAGTGTTGTTTTAATTTACATCTCTTGAATGACAAGTGATGTTGAATATTTTTTCATATATTTATTTGCTATTTGCACTTCTTCATCAGAGAAGTGCCTGTTCATCTCAGATGTCCATTTTTGGATTGGGTCTTTAAATTTAGGAGTGTCTCATTTTTTGAGTTATTTATATATTCAAGATATTAGTCCTTTGAAGAATAGCTGGTAAAATTTTTTTTCCATTCTGAGGGTTGTCTCTTGATTCTGTTGGTGGTTTCTTTTGCTGTGCGAAAGCTTTTTATTATGATGTGATCCCCAATTGTTGATTTTTTGTAATATTTCCTGTACAATTGATGTTTTGTCATAAAAGTCTTTACCTACACCTATGTCTTCAAGAGTTTTACCTATTTTGTCTTCCAGCAGATTGTTTCTGTTTTAATATTTATATCTCTGATCCATTTTGATTTTAGTTTAGTGCATGGTGAGAGATATGAGTCTAGGTTTAATCTTCAGCATGTGGAAAGCCAATTTTTCCAGACTCATTTATTAGAGAGGTTATATTTCTTCTAGTGAAGATGTTTGGTCCCTTTGTCAAAGATTAAGTGGCTGAGTGTGTTTGGAGTTGTTTCTGCATCTTCTTTTTCTGTTGCATTGATCCTCGGGTTCTTAGCTATTTCTTTGTTAGAAAATTGAATATGTTTTAGGAAGAACTATTCTCCTTATAACAACATTAGAGTGCTTTAAGTGCTCATATAAAATAAATTTTATTTTTCCCCTCAAATTTTTATTGTGACAAAATACACATATAAAATTCACCATCTTAAACATTTTTAATTATATAGTTCAGCAACACTAAATATATTAATAATATGGTAAAGCCAGAGCTACCATCCATGTTCAGAATTCATCTTGTAAAACTCAAACTCCCCATTGTTTATTCTCAAAGCCTCTGCCAACCACCACTCTATGGCCTTTCTTAATGGTTTGACTACTATAAGTGTACTGTTTATATACATGGAGTCATATAGTATTTTTATTTTGGGGACTTTTTTCAATTGTCTTTATCACTTATGTCAGAATCCCCTATCTTTTAGACAATGAGTATAATACGTATATACAGATTTTGCCTATCAACTCATATCTGTCATTATACAATTGAGTTCTTTTGGGTATGTATCTAGAAATAAAGTTGCTAGATAATGCAGTCATTTTTCTTAAAGTTTTTGAGGAACATTCACACTATTTCCTATAGAAGAATTATTTTACATTCCCACCAGCAATATAAAATTTCTTCATATTCTGACCCAAACTTGCAATTTTCCATTTTAAAATTTATCTTAATTTTTCAATAGTAGCTCTCTTAATGCGCATGAGGTTGTGTCTCCTGGTTTTGATATACATTTTCCTGATGATGATTATATGCTTGTAAATTTGCTTTTTGTGGTACAAAATTTTAATTATTTTTTCAGTCACTCTGTCCTTTTTTTCCATTGAAGTAGCTTTGAGTTGTTGATTCTTCAGTGCTGTGTCAAAATTATTTCTCGCAGTTCACTTAATCTGTGTATAAGGACTGAGTTTTAACACTTTGACATGCTTATCTGTTGCTTTTGTCTTTGCTGCTTATCAGCTACTTCATTTCTCAAGCTTCCACTTTCTTATCTGCAAAATGGATATAATAGTGCCTTTTTTCATTGGGTTATTCTGAGAAGTAAGTGAGATAATTTATGTTAAACACAATACCATGGCAGAGATATAGAAAGGGCTTAGCAGATATTAGTTGTTATTTTATTTTATTGTGAGGATTTCTGTCATTCTTTGTGTTGTGTCTTCAAACACTGCTTTTGTGCTGGAGTCGCTAATTATCTCTGGAATCAGTGCTCCCTCTTGGCACTAGTGAACACGTGCTTCATTGCATGCTCAGTGATCCCAGGGGCGACTCTGACATCTGCCCCACAAGAAGGAAGCAGATGGCTTCTCGCTTTCTAGATATAAGGGTCCTGTACTCCCTCATGCTAACATGATCAGTCTCCAGCCTTCCCTTTTCTTATCATTCCTCCTCTTTCAGGATAAGCAAAATGATTTTTTGGCTCTTCTCTACCACTTTCTTAGTCCTTCAGTGGATATTGTGATATAACAGGTGAGTTTAAGAGCATCCATGGTGGCAGAAGGAGGGAATGGCAGGTGTGTGTGTGTGTGTGTGTGTGTGTGCGTGTGTGTGTGTGTGTGTGTGTGTGTGTGTGTGTGTTTTGAGGTAACTATAAAGGACAAACACAGGTTGAGAGAAAGAGGAAATGGATGTTTGTGAGACAAACAAAGGGTTAGTGAGATGAAGGATGAGTGGGGATTATAGCATGACATAGCATAGAGTGGGGAGTGTGGGTAAGGAGAGGCATCAGTGGAACTAGGTGGTGGGCACTGGTAGAGATAGAAACGAGAATGAAGGTGGGGCCAGGAAAAGCACCCAAAAGGTGTGAGGGGAGGAGGGACTTTTTGTTGAAAGGTTTGAGAGCAACAGATATTAGCTGTCAGAATCAGACTATATCAGGGAAGAAGGTATCATGGGGACTTTTCATAAAAATTGCACACATTTTGACCATAATCTTATTTTTGGTGAAATAAGCAAAGCTACTAGGCAAAGATTAAGTTATTAATTCTATGGCTCATGTGTTCAAATATTTCTTAAACACACACACACTCTTCCAGACAATTTACTTAGTGCTACAAATACATCAGTCCCAAAGCGAGGACTTTCTTGGTAGTCTGGGTGTCAGTTGTGTATAAACCTGAAAAATCTCCCTCATTCTGTTTCCTTCTCCAGCATTTTGCAGAACAGCAACAGTCACTGGGAGAGGAGGAGGCTGTGCATGGAGCTGGGGTTTGACACATGATACACTACCATATGCTTACTCAAATTTAGATAAAATCCCCCACAATGTGTACAGGGAATAAAAGAAATGGGCAGATGGACATTTTTCTCGAGATGTTTCTTCATAAAAAATGTGAGTTCTTGTGATACCAGAGGGTAGGGTCTGAGGGGATTAGGCAAATGTTGGTCAAAGCACACATTTTAGTTAGGCAGAAATAACTTCAAGGGATAGGTTGTACATCATGGGACTATAGTTAATAGCAATTTATTGTTTATTTAAAATTGCTATGAGTAGATTTTACATGTTCTCACCATACACATAAGTACGTGAAGTAATATGTTAGTTAACTTTCTTTAGCCGCACTACACTCTACTGGACATATATCAAATTTACGTTGCACAACCTAAATATATGGACATTTTGTCAATTTAAAAATAAATGACCCGAACCACTCTTAAGGGGGAAAAAATGAGAACCAAGACCTGTCATGTAAAGGTACAAGATCCCAATAATGAATGTAACTGTAATGTATACCTAAAATGTACCAATAAACTCAATGAGAGAGAAAAAAAAGAGTTTGTCAGTGAATTAAGAGAATCTCAGTACCCCTGTAGCACATATAATACTGGCTTTAGACTATGAAAACATTTTACATGTTGTTTCAAATGGCTGTGAGCAAAAGTGAGAAAATTAGAGGTGTAAACCTTAGTCTGCTCCTGTTATATTAAGAATAAACCATTTATAAATTTTGATATCATGCCGTCTGCATGTATAGAAAATACTGAATACCATTAATATATACAATTAATGTGTGTGCTAGTGAAAATATTTTAAGAAGAAACAAATTTCACGTGACAAATCTCCTGGCAAATCCTGCCATATATTGGGCTGCAGAGTCCACCATTATACCTTAAGGTCAGGGCAGCAGTTTGATCCATTAGGTACAGGGCTTCAGTGTGTAGAGCCTGTGTATTTGAAAGAACCTGAGTAGTGAAAATTATCAGAGATCTGAACCACATCTACAAGAAAAATGTCAAAGTAAAAATAAAACGTCTAAATAGGTGTCTAGGTCATGCAACCAGGCAAGAGAGTAGCACCTATGTAGACATCCAACAATTATATCTGCATGGTTTGTAGGTTTATTTTAACATGCTGTTATGATAATAGGAGAGTATCACAAATTAAGATTGAATAGAGACATAAAAGATCTTATATATAGGCCTTTTGGGCATGGAAGATCCTAGGAAGAAAAAAGAAAGAGCAGTTTCTTTGTTTCCACTGGGACAGTTAAATGTTTTCCAGAGCACTTGAAGGAAGTCCTTTGAGTAGTTCCCAGCACTTGAAGGAAGTCCTTTGAGTAGTTCAACCACCTAGTACAACACCAAACCCTTGGGAATCTGGGTCCTAAGGCAGCAGGTCCAGGTGAAACTTGACCTCAGTCTACTTGTCTTTTTTGGGCTCTTCTTTCATTCATTTTCCTCTACTTTTCTCCAGGGAAAGGAGTTTCTTTTGGTCATATTTGAGTGAAGAGTAGGATGTTAATAGGGCCAAACATTAAGTAAGGTATTTTACCTACTGGAAAATATATAATGAAAAGATGGCCAAACAGATTAACAAGAATAATAAAATAACGAGAAGTTATCTTTTCTGGGCACTTTGTATGGATTAACTCATTTAATCCTCACAATTACCTTATGAATTTATTGTCCACAACTTACAAATGAGAAAATGGAGGCATGCAGATGTAGTGACTTACCTGAGCTCATTTAGCTAGTCAGGATGAATTGGGAAATGAGCTCAGGAAGTGCAGCCCCACAACTTCCTGTTCCCACCTCCTGCTCTGTGTTGTCTCCCATTCACGATGGCTGCAGGCCCTTTTCTCCACCGTGCTGGTTTTCCTCACTATCACCCCAACATACATTCTCTTAAAGCCCTGGAGGGCACTTTCTGTGAGACTTTGCCTCTTTGTGCCTGTGGTTTCCTTTCTTCTCACCCCTGACTTCTTCCTGCGTGAGCCTAGAACCCTCCAAAGGGGTCCGGCAGAGAAGCGGCAAGGCTGAGATAGGGCCCTCTGTGTGACTGAGTGGAGTGAAGTGAAGGAAACTGAATGCAAGTCCTTTCCTGAACTGCATTTACAGCTACACCGTCCTCACTGCCCCACTCCCCGCCCTGCCTTGGTGCCTTGCTGTGGGGTGATCCAACATCATCAAAGTCGTAAGAAGACAGCAGGAATTGTTTTCATGCGGACGCCTATCGGGTTTCTTACTGTTATATTGAGAAGGGATATGTTAATAACTAGTGGGTTTGGGAGTTGCAGTGAGAAAATAAATGTCTATTAAATTTCCTTCAAAGAAAAATTAATTTGTTTTCTGGTGGGGATTTTAATATGCATTTGAGATCAGTGCTTTAAAGTGCAGGCACAGCAATTTTACCGGTAGCCCTTCCTCTCCGTGCTTTTCCTAGGAAAGTTAGCTTCTCCTTTAAGTACAAGTTGAGCCAATATTTAAAATACACCGGATCAGAGGATGTCAAATGATTATCTTGATAAAATCTGGCCCCTTTCCCCTTGTAGCCACCTGGAGTACCATTGCTTTCTCTTCATCACGCTCTGAGCAAGTGAGTTTGCTCAAGGCAGGGGGTGGATTCCAAAGTTGAGGGTTTATTTTGTGTGTGGCTTCTTCCCTGGTGCTTACTGAACACCCTTATCAGAAGATTCAGCTAGTATTTATTTGATACCTTCATACTTCTGACTCTCTCTTTATGCTCCCCTCCTCTCTCATTTTCTTGAGACAAGGTCTTACTAGGTATTCCAGGCTGACCTTGAACTCACTATGTAGCCCAGGCATCTCTGGAATTTGGGACGATCCTACCATCTCAGCCTCCCAAGTGCTGAGGTTATGGGTGTGTACCATCATGCTTGCCTCTCCATGGTCTCTTCTCTTCATGTGTCCTGGATTAATTAACTATCTTCCTAGTTCTAATAAGCTGACAGATAATTTCCAAGTAGACAATTTTTATAGGATTGATGGGAAAGCTAAGACAAGAAGGGCTCTATATTTAATACTTTTTAGCAGCAGAAAAACCTGATTCTGAGGGTTAGGGAGCAGATGGTGTATGGGTGTAAGGGGTAGCAGATGTGGGCATGTGGAGAGTGTGTGCTGTGTTAGTGGAGCCTGTCGAGGACAAGAGGACAAAGTATATTGATTTCCTTTACTCAGAATAGTTTCTCTGGAGGCTGCAGGGTTTCTGTGGATAAAGAGCATGGTTTTTCTAATATGAGAAACCCAAAATATAAATACTTTACCAAGCAAAATAAAATAGAGGCGCTAAGAAACAGGGAAGTAGATTCTATGAAGATAGGAAGGGAATCTTGGGAAGGAGGGAGTGGGGAGAGTTTGGGAAGGGGTAGTAAAAATGATCAAGATGTGAGATGAATATGTACCAGTTCCTCAAGATGAATGTAGTTATTATATATCGCAAACATATACTAATCACCAAAAGGAGATCTGAACCAATAGCTACTTGTATGGAATTGTCTAGGAAAGAGCATGAGGAGTTCATGAGAAGGGTGGTAACTGTTCTTTTTGGTTTCGTTTGCTGCCCTACTGCTCACTGGCTTTAGAGATGTGAATCTGGGTCAGAATGGTACATACACCTCTTAGGTGCCTTCTGAGTCCGCACTTGGGAATTTACTTCCATGCACAGGCAACCATAAGTGCAAGTATCCTTCGAAATGTTTAAGGTCTTGAGTTTGAGGTGATCTTCCTGCCTCAGGTTCTGGAGTGCTGGGATTACAGGTATGTGCCACCATGCCTGGTTGAAGGAGATATTTTAAGCCTAAATTTTTGGTAAACGGCTTCAAGGAGAAGTGAAAACACTTGAGTTTAAGTTGTTTACCCGGAGAAGTACCTTGGATGGTGGGAGACAGACAAATCCTGTGAAACCCTAATTACTTGTGTCCGTGTCTGAGTGAATAAAGCCAAGATGTGTCAGTCCTGTGGGGCTCTATGTTGAAGGGAGATATGAGTCCTTTGGCCGCCCCAGATTAAAAAAAAAATGATGAACAAAAGTGGAAAGGGAGGGAATTTTGGGTAAACACGGAGGAGTAAAGTCTTAGGGAAAGGGACAAGTATAAGATGGGTATGGGGAAATAGTGTTTATGTGATACAATGAATGATAGAAATGAAAGGTGAGGCCAGTTTCATGGGACACAGTGACTGGAGGCTGGTATAGCTCTACTGGATCTTGAAACATTATTGCCAGAGATCCTCTATATTCAATGGCCAGAAGCCATTCCTACACCCTAGTGAGCATTCTCTAGGAGAATTTCCCCTGGAGAATGCAACAGTATATAAAATCATACTGTCTTCTTTCATCTCTGCACACACTCAGCTGTGTTTTTGTTGCTGTTACTTTCAGTGGACACCACGTCAGCTTCTAAGCCATTCCACAGGGGTCCATACTATGCACCATGACGCAAACCAACCTTACCATCTTCCACCCCACAGTTTTTGTCCTACTTGGCATCCCTGGGCTGGAGGCTTATCACACTTGGTTGTCAATACCCCTCTGCCTCATGTATATCGCTGCAGTCCTGGGGAACAGCGTCTTGATAGTGGTCATCATCACAGAACGCAACCTTCACGAGCCCATGTATTTTTTCCTCTCCATGCTGGCAGTCACAGACATACTTCTGTCTACCACTACTGTGCCCAAAGCCCTAGCTATCTTTTGGCTCCATGCTCATCACATTGCCTTCGATGCCTGTGTCACCCAAGTCTTCTTCGTTCACACCATGTTTGTGGGGGAGTCAGCAATCCTGTCAGCGATGGCCTTTGACCGCTTTGTGGCCGTCTGTGCCCCTTTGAGGTATACCACCGTGCTAACGTGGCCTACTGTGGGAAGAATTGCTCTGGCCATCCTCACCCGAAGCTTCTGCATCATCTTCCCGGTGATTTTCTTGCTGAAGCGGCTGCCCTTCTGTCGAACCAACATTATCCCCCATTCTTACTGTGAGCATATTGGAGTGGCCCGCTTAGCCTGTGCTGACATCACCGTTAACATCTGGTATGGCTTCTCAGTGCCCATTGTCACGGTCATCTTGGATGTGATCCTCATCACTGTGTCTTACTCACTGATCCTCCGAGCAGTGTTTCGTTTGCCTTCCCAGGATGCTCGGCACAAGGCCCTCAGCACTTGTGGGTCTCACCTCTGTGTCATCCTCATGTTTTATGTTCCATCTTTCTTTACCTTATTGTCCCACCGATTTGGGCATAACATTCCCCGTCATGTGCATATCCTGCTGGCCAATCTCTATGTGGTGGTGCCTCCAATGCTCAACCCCATTGTCTATGGTATAAAGACTAATCAGATCCGGGAGGGTGTAGTCCACTGGCTCTTTGATGTGAAAACTTGGTGGTGTGCTGCCCCTTTGGGCTGATGGATTCTCATGTGTCTTCCTGCTCAGCCGCGTCAAGGAAGCTAGCTATGAAATACAGAAATTTCCTGGACTTAGTGGGCTTTTCTCTCTTCTTCTAAGTCATCTTTTCTCTCCTCTTACTCTTCTCTTTTCCTCTCTCTTCTAACTGTTCTGTTTGCTTCCTCCTGTTTCTTTGTTTTCTTTGCATGCTTCACACTCCTCTCTGCACCTCAGAAATAACTAAGTGTACACACCTCTGATATGAGCATTTTGTATCTTCAGTAGACTAGACGTACTCCAGAAGTACAGGGAACTAAATGTCATGTGAAGTAAGGCTACAAACAAATAAAGAGAAATAATATTGTATTTAATATATGAAGGGATTCCATTTTTTAAATCCCCAGATGTTCATTTACTTTGTACAGAATCAAGTAGCTCTCTGTTTGCTTCTACAATGACATGCACTTTAAAAAACAGAAATGCCTGTCCTTTAACCATCTGGAAAATTCCATCTCATTCTTCACTTTTTAGTTCAATAATTACCCTCTCTGTGAAGTCTTTCCTAACTTCTCCAGGTAAGCCAAGATTCTTATCTTTACATACCTAGTCCACCTTATATATTTGTGTCTATTTGTGCACAATCAATGGTAATGATCTGGCCATTTATTTATTTATTTATTTATTGTTTTTTTCTCATTGAGTTTGTTGGTATTTTAAAAATATACAGTACAGTTACATTTATCATTGGGATCTTGTACCTTTACATGACATATCTTGGTTCTCATTTTTTCCCCATACTGCTGCCCTCCCTTAACTCCCTCTAGTTTTTATTTATATCCCTAACAGTAAACTCCTTGAAATAGAAAGTGTGTATTATTAATATTTGTACCCTTAATACATTAAAAATGCATGGCACACAATAAATGTTTAAAAAATGAGTGAGTAAAATTACTTCCCTAAATTCAGATCATACACCTCTGTGATACACTGAAATGGCTGCTAAATTAGGCCATAAACCAGTGATTAATAAACCAGATCTTCACGAATGCAGCTTAGCATCATGGCAGCAAATGAGCTGCTGATCTGCAGTGTTTTCTTCTCACTCTTTTACTGTGACTCAGAGACCAGAGAATAGACAAAGCAGGAGAAAAAGAGGGTATTCTTGATTCTCTGTTTTAACTTGCTTTTGACCAGCTCCAGCGTTAGGAATTATAGGACAGTGTTCTTGGCCAAATTAGCAAAATTGGAGTACAGTGCTTTCTGAGCATTCACATTCCTGACTCACATCCTTTTATGATTTTCTAGGAAAGGTCATTAACGCTCATTTCCTCAGCCAATATTCAGTCCTTTATCTGCCACTTTAGTGTGAAACGCTTTTTTGAGAACTCTAACTTAAGCCAATTTTTTGTTCTTTGTTCTTTTTCTTGGAAACTAGATTATGATGATCTCATTAACTTCCCTGAGCTGGAAACGGTGGAATCTTTCCTAGCTTCTTTCCTTCAAGGCTATTCTTTCTATTTTCTTTTATGAAGCAATAAAACAAAAATTCAGAACAAAGTAATAAGAGGATAATAACAGTTAATACTTTATGTACTGTTTTCTTCAAAGTAGTTACTCAGTACCAACAATGAAAAAGAGTCTCTCTTACAAAGAAGGAAACAGATATGCTACTATTTTTTCTTAGATCACTGAAAAGCCTACTTCTTAACAGGCTCTTGGTTGGTACTTCTCTTGATGGTACTATTGAATAGTTAGGTAGGTGGGTGGTATTTGGAATCACATCAAGATTTAAGTTCCTACCCCATCATTTTTTGACTAACTGAATCTGTGAGATTCATTTAACATTTTTAGTTCTTATTTTTTATTTATCAAATGGGTATCTTATAGAGTACCTTCATAGGGTTGATGAGAAGGTTAATTGGAAAAAGCCTTATTACATATCACTTAACAAAAAGTTTCCATGACCAAATAAATACAGAAAACACTGACATCCTGTCAGTCATGCAGAAGGCATTCCAAGAGAGGGTTAGAGTTTTCAGTGTTGCACACACTTTTTTAATCACACCTGTTTCCATGTCAATATAATTTTTGTTGCTAACACAGCAATTTAAATTTCTAATATTATCCTGAGTTTGGAAATTACAAGACTGTGGAGTAAATTATAAAGTAAGTACTAGTTTAATAATCTGATCTTGACTTATTCTTTTTTGTCTCTATTTCAAAATATATGATTATATTATAATATATTAGCATATAATAATATTAATAATGATGATAATAATAATTATAATAGGTAATATTTATAAAGAGGTCATTCCAAGCCAGAAGCCATGGTAAGTGCTCTGCTCCCTTAAGATAGTGCTATTGTTATCTCTCTTTAAGATCAAAGGTTACCCAAGGCTCTGAGGGTAAGTAGTCAAGTTACACACCTGGCAAGTAGAGTACTGAAGTCAATAACTCTGTTATCTTTGCCAGACCCCCCCAAATCAAAGATAATCATCTTGTCCTTTGAGCCTCTACAGCAGTGCTATGTGTGGTCTCAACTGAATATGAATTACTCTGTTTATGAAACCACCACAGCATGAACTCTCTGACGGCAGAGGATATGTTGAACTCATAGTGTCAGCATATGCATTGGGTAAAATATGTTGAAATTATCTATAGAATTGAAGTGTTTGTGAGGTTTTTGAACTCTGGACCCTTTGTTTTTAAATATATCTAACTTTACGGCACACACCTGCATGAACATGCACATACACACACACACACACACACACACACACCTTGCACACTCAGCTCCTGATCTACTATTTCTTCTATTTCTCCAAACATTCTTAATCATATTAATGACTTGCAGATATAGGCCGGGACTTACTAATCTACTTAATATAGTTAATAATTTAACTAGCAGCACTCAGATCTTCTCTGTGTCCATATTTTAGTAAGTGAAATGATACAGAGTCATTAGCAGATGTAATATGTCTAGAGTACTATGGAAGGACGTAGTTAAATTAACTGCCCACTCTTGTTCTTGAGTCAGTGATCTCTGGAGGCTGCTTCTGCTGGGTTCTACATTTTTCTAATTAAACCAGACCCTGCCTAAGGATAATAGGGATGAAGCTGTCTCCTGACCCCAAGGATTTCTAGAATGAGGTACAAATACTGTCCCCTTACACTGCAGGGGCTACATCTTGCAGTTTTCTTTTACATGTCGAGAAAGAATTTTCTGTTCAAGTGAGGTAAATTTCTGGACAGGGAATAAATGATTGGTTCCTAGGATTTCTAGGTTTTCTTGGAATAGGCCCAATAAACTGTTGGTTTAGACAAGATCTTCTCATGTGCTCTGGATAGCGTATTGTAGTATATGTACAAAATTTCCTTCATTTTTAAAAAATTGAGTTTATTGGTACAATCTAGGTATACAATATAGTTACATTCATCATTGGGATTCTGTACCTTTACATAATAGGTCTTGATTCTCATTTTTTCCCCTTGTCCCTGCTCTCCCTTCACCTCCCCCTCCCCTCCCCATTTACAAACACTTTATTTCCATTTTTTCAGTTTCTCATATTTTTTTCCTCTCCCTTATTACCTTTCCCCCACCCTTCCCACTTTCCCTACACCTTTAGCCCTTTACTTCCTATTTCACATTATTAATTATCTCATTAGGATCCTGTGTACTATTATAGTTTTTCAACCAAAGAAACTA